GGAGGGACCGGGAGAGAGAGGGCGGGGCTGAGGACGGCGCGGGGCCGGCGCGAGGCGGCGGCGGGAGGGGGTGGTGACCCGGGGCGGAGAGCGGTGACCTCGCAGAGGTTGGGGGAGGTGGCCTGGCCCACGCCCCCGAGTCTCCGCGTTCGCCCCCGGCTCCTGCGTCCGCCTTCCCATTTTCCGAGCGATCCTCGGATCCCGGCCCTATTGGTGTCCAGAGCCCCCGTGGTGAGGAGGAGGCCTCTGAGGCGGCGAGGTCTGCCCTCTGGCACAGATGCCCTCTCCCTTCCCGGGACCCTGACTCAGTGCAAACTCAGGACCCCTTTCCACCCTCCTCTTCCCCGTCCCGCCGGGAGCCAGACAGGGGACCAGGTCTGCTGGCCAGCTCGTTATGGGCCTAGGGTCCGGGGGCCCGGGAAGCCGATAGAACCCCGAGAGCTTAGCGGGGTGGCTGGGCAGCCCGAACCAGAGGAGTGGGGAGCGGGAACTGACGGGAGGTGGGGAGGGAGGAAGTCACCGGTCGTGACGTCATTGGATTAACTCTCTCAACGCCCGGCCAGTTGCCGTCCCCAAAGAGGTAGAAGACTCAAAGCTGACTGGTCTGGAGAGGATGGGGTGGAGCTAAGTCTGGAGTCCCCGGCAGAACGCCGGTTCTGGGGATCGAAGCTTGGGCTTGTTGGCATCCCCACCGGGCGTTTTATCGTCCGGGGACGGCCACCGAACGCTGCGTAAGCTGTCCGTGACATCAACTTGTGAGTGAGCGTTGAGTGCAGGTTTTGGTGACCATGTCTTTCGTGCACTGATTACTTATGAAACTACCAGCGTATCTGTGTGCAAAGGGCCCTGGGATCTGCGTTTTCTGCAGCGAGTGCCCTGGCTAGAGGGCGGACAGCTGGTGCACACCGCCACTGGGCGGCGGCCAGGAGCGTGGCATCCCAAAGAGAAAGCCTAGTTTCTCAGGACCTAGATTTGCCACCTACTGCTCTGCTTCATTCTCAGATAGCCCCAACCCAGAGATTCCACGTGCTGGCTTGAGTCCTCGCACCTCTCTGGATATTCTTTCTGAATATCAAGCCTTCGTCTCTGTACTTTTGATCCTGCAATTCCTTCCTTCAGGAATGACATTCCTTATTCTCTCCTGGCTTACTCTTAAGCCTTCCCAAACTCAGCTCCAATGTCCCTCTTCCAGAACCCCTGATCTCAGGACATGATTCCCCTTTGTATCCCCAGGGTCTGGTAAGTGTTTGAAGAGCTGAACTGCGTGGCTCGAATTGCGGGGCCTGGGTTCACCTGACAAAAGAGGGTTTCCACCAGGGGGCGCAAGGAGTCAGCGTTAGTTCACAATATCCATTAGGGGGCGCTTTTGCCGCCTCTGGCGGTCTAGGGTTGGGGAGCCAACCGCAGCTTCGCCCCGCCTGATTGGGAGAGGCACCACTAAACTATTTGCATACTCTTGAAAGGGCTGCGCTGAGTAGTTGAGGTATAGAAGAAATCTGAAACGGGCTCTCTCATTGGCTTAAGTTCCCCCTTGTTCCGAGTCCCTTTCCCGGCCAATCCCCGCCCGGAGGTCAGTCCGAAGCCTAGGCTAGTGGCGAGAGCAGACCCAGGTGTCCGGACATTGGGCGCTGCAGGGTGAGTGCCGGGCGGCCGAGGGGCTGGGCCGGGGTATTGGGGGCCAGGGTGGGAAACTATTCGCTCCGCCCTGACTCCTCTTGGCTTACTGGTTTCCCTGTCTAGGAGTTTAAGATGTGCATCTAGAGAGGCACTGCCACCCTTGCCACCTGCCCTTCCATCCACACACCGAGGTCCTCTCCATCCACTCTGGTCCCGCCCACTCTACCTTGGGGTAGAAAAAGGAGTCTCCTCAGTCGCAGCTTCTGACCTCCCGGCTACCTCACTCAGGCATCTAAAGAGCTTAGTTTGCCCCTCCAGAAAGTGGATCAGTGGCTTACAGAGGCGTGCGCCGGGGAAGGGAGGGGTACACAGGCGGCCTGCTCACACACAGGCTTGTTCGTGCAGAGTGGCTCAAAAGTAGAGCTCCAGGGCTCAGCTGGGTATGGGTACCAAGAATGAAAGTCCAGAACCCAACTGCCAGAAACAGTTCCAGGCTGCAGTCAGCGTCATTCAGAACTTACCTAAGAATGGTGAGGATCTGGGGACCTGTTTTGGGGGGTCAAGACAACTGAGATCCGCCTCCTAGGAGGCTCTTATCCTTGCAGTTTTTGCAGGCAAGTCCTTGCCTGAGCTGTCCTTGGGGGCTCCCTCTGCCACCTGTCCCTGTCCATCTACCCTGGATGGGAACCCTCACCATCTCTGGCCCCTCCAAGGGTGGTTCTCCCCCTACCTCCATCCTCTTGGAGCTAGGGGTGATGCTCTGCCCTCCACTTCCCAACCGCTGCCAGGCTCTTACCGCCCGTCTTATGAAGAGATGCTGCGATTCTACAGCTACTACAAGCAGGCTACAGTGGGGCCCTGCTTGGTCCCCCGGCCTGGATTCTGGGACCCTATTGGACGTTATAAATGGTGAGCTCCTCATCAGCTGGGCACACAAGCCTCAGCTGTCAACCAGTCTTTCACACCCCTCTGCCCACCCCCACCTCACCCTAGGGATGCCTGGAACAGCCTGGGCAAGATGAGCAGGGAGGAGGCCATGTCCGCCTACATCACTGAGATGAAGCTGGTGGCACAGAAGGTAGGGAAAGGCTGCAGACTCCTCTCTGTGCCCAAGCTCTCAGCCAGGTGGCCTGCCCCCCCATCCCACAGTCTGATCCCCATTATGTTTCCTGCACTTTGGCACCTCTGTGGCAATTACCACCTTCTTGCTGTCTCTGGTTCCTGACTGGGCACAAAGTGGATATGACAGGGCAGGAGCAGGGTAGGGGCAGCCCAGCTCAAGGGGTTAGGAGGGCAGTCGTGGGAGGGGCCAGCCCTTCCCATTAGACCCCCTCCCACACAGGTGATCGACACGGTGCCCCTGGGTGAGGTGGCAGAGGACATGTTTGGTTACTTCGAGCCCCTGTACCAGGTGATCCCTGACATGCCGAGGCCCCCGGAGACCTTCCTGAGAAGGGTCACAGGTCAGGCCCCCAGACTGGGAACTCCACAAGTGCTGACTGACCTGTCTTAGGGGGCTGCTCAGTTGGAAGGGGACCTGGGGACAGAGGGCTCCAGGTGATGTCCCTGTAAGGACCCCAATCAGTGCCTCTGATGGGGTGGCTCTCAGGAAGAGTCCATGGTTAAAGGGGAACAGGGGCCTGATCTCTTCCAGCCCCACCTCTGGGTGCTGTGTCTCCACAGGTTGGAAAGAGCGGGTGTTGAATGGAGATCCTGGAGCTTCCCCAGAGCCTCCTTGCCTCCCCAAGGAACCAGCCCCTCCAAGTCCAGGTCAGTGCCTGGACAGGAGGGGCAGGGAGCCAAACCCAGACCAGAGGTTGGGGGGGACCTCTAGACAGTGTAGAGGGGAGAAGACTAGATGCCACGCTATGCCTTTCACACCTCATGCCCACAGACGCCGAGACCTCCTGTGCTCCGGAAGGCCAAGGGACAGGTTCCAGGGCCTCTCTCAGGGATCCATCTGTGCCCCTTGTGGCAGTATCTCTAATGTCCCCTGAACAGGTGCCTCTTCCCAGTTGCATACCCCTCTCCTCCCTCCAAAGCCTCCCTCTTGTCATTAATCCTACTTACCCGCTCCCCAGAGTCCCAGCCACCCAGGGACCTGGACTCTGAGGTTTTCTGTGATTCCCTGGAGCAGCTGGAGCCTGAGCTGGTGAGACCCAGCCCCATTCCTTCTCCTTCCCCACCCCACTGTGCCCTGGCTGCTCCCACCAGCCGCCTGGGACTTTGTGACTCGTCTCAGCAGGTTGATGCAGAGCAGAGGGGCGCCCTTGGAGGAGAGCCCGATACCAGAAACAGCCCCGTGTCCACCACAGAGAAAGGTGAGCCGCTGCCTGACCCTTCACCCACTTCTGTCCTTCCCTGTGGTTCTGGTGCCCTGGGTCTTCCCCTGGCTGCTCTCTTGGGGCAGAGGTGAAAGTCCAGTACTGGGCACTGGGGAGAGCAGCCTCTGCCCAGGAAGGGTTGCCAAACAGCCAGACACTGGCCTGGATGGGCAAAGTCCCTGCCTGGCCTCCTCTCTGAGGTCCACCAGGAATCTGTACCCGTTGCTGGCTCTGAGGAAGGGCGGCTGGGAGCGGAGTCCTAGTCCAACTCTCACCTACAGCTTTGTGGCCTTGGGAGTCATCCTTTCTCTCTGGCCTCCCATTTGGGACTCTCAAAGGATGACAGTGAGCAATGCCCTATCCCCTTCTAGAACTTCCAGCGTGCCATCTCCCATAGAGGTATTTTCATAAATATTACCTCCTTTATTCCTCAGGGCGAACAGCCCTGTGAGGGAGATGATATAATTTTCAGATGATGAATGAGACTTAGAGAAGTTATTGACTTGCCCAAAGTAGCGCTGGGGTTCAAACCCCTGGCAGCCGTGGATTGACAGTACAAGACTCACACTTGGTACAAGGGATTGCACTGTGCTCTTACTCATTCCTGGACCTGCCCCAGCCTGCCACCACCCTGCCCCTTGCTGAGTTGCCTCCTGAGTCCCCTTCCCTCTGTGTCTGTTCTCTGCAGAAAATTTGGGAAGCAGCCTGCTGGGACCCCAGGAATTGGACACATGGCTGATGGGGACAGTTCAGGCGCTGCAGGAGAGCATGCAGGATGTCCAGGGGAGACTGCAGAGCCTGGAGAGCATGCCCAGCCCCCCTAGGCAGGTGAGCACCCCCCACCCCAAAGGCCCAGAGCAAGATTGGGGCAGAACTTTGAGGGTCTCTATTCTGGGCTCCTCATCCAGCCACTTTTGTCTTTGTCCCCATGTCTCTACATGCCCACACCTCTGCCTTCTCCAGAGAATGATGTGGCTCATGGTGCAAGCAAGGAAGTCAGGGGGTCTAAAGTGCTTCTGCCCTGGAAGGAGAGTGGGAAAGGCCCTCCTTTCCTGCTCTTACTTCCCTCTGCCTGAAGAGAAACTGAGGACAGTTGGAATTCCAATGACTGGAAGGATCTGAATGTGTCTGCTCTTTGTATTGGAGCTAGGGGGGGTCCCTCTTGCCCCTCAGTCAGGATTTCTTCTGTTCCCACCCCACTAAAAAAAAATCAGCCCTTGCATCCCCGACTCCCTCCTCTGGACTTCTAGATCTGCTTGCCCCTTATACCCTGGCTTCTGTAAAACAAGTAACAGCAGCCACTTCTGGAGCCCCAGCTGTATGCCAAACACATTGCTTGCATTATCTCATTTAATCCACACAACAAACCAATGAAATAGGTTTTCTTTTCATTTCCCTTTACAGATGAGGAAACTAAGGCTCTGAGAGGTTGAGTAACTTACCTGAGGGCACACAGCCCAGAAGAACCTCAGAGAGCTGCTGTGAGGATTAGATGAGATAATGCATGCAGGTACTTCTGCAGTGCAGGACTTCTCAAATGAGGTTCATTGTTAGCATTACTATTAACATTAAGTGATGGAGCTGGAGTAACCCCAGGTCTATCTCCCTCCAAAGGTGGCAGCCACCATTAACTACAAGTCTGTTCTTGAGTAGCCTGGGATGGAGAGGGCAGGAGAGAGCTGAGTTCCTGGATATGGGGGAATCACTCCAAAGACCCCTAACCCCTTGGCAGGAGTTGCCTCAGATCCACAGTGGCTAACCTTTCAACACCTCCCCCCACCCCGGGCTTTATTTATTGTTTACCTTTTACTAATTTTATATGCTGAAGATTTTAAAGATTTTCACCCTGAAATACTTGGGTTTACATTTCTGAAAATAAGAACATTCTATTACCTAGCAAAATCAACAATGTTTTTATCACACACATTAATTCCTTCATATCATCAAATACCCAATCCAAATTCAGATTGCCTTTTCCAGCTTCCCCATCTGTCCAGGCCAGAAGGACATGGTGCACTTGGTTCCTGTCCTTAAGACTCTTTTAGTCTAGATCAGTCCCCTTTCCTTACTGTTGACTTGCTGAGACTGGCCAGTGATCCTGTAGAATGTTCCACTTTTGGGGTCTGTCTGATTACAGCCTCCAGGCTAGTTTACATGACCAGATTACAACAGGGGTGATGTTCTTTCTTCTATCAAGGGACACATGTCTGGATGTCCCAACACTAATGATTCCAGCATGAAACACTAGCATGGATGAAGGGGTGACAGTCTGATCCCATCTCTTGTAGCCAGGGAATGTCCATTCTCCATCAAGCCATTTGACACACAGTTTTTGACAATTGATAAATAATCCTTGTCTGGATCAGTAATTTACTCAGTGGTTGCAAAAAATGTTGACTTTTAAATTCCATGATTCCTTTAACATTTATTAGCTATCATTTTTCTGTAGTTTCCCTGAAATACAGTGCCTTATGGAAGGGCAGAATAAGTGCCTAATTCTTTCTCTTTAATTATTTTTAAAGAAAGGAGTTGATTTAACAGCCACCTGAATGGTGATAAATTTCCAGCTTTCTCTTTGAGTATCATTATGAACTCATGGATTTTAAAGATTAAGTATTTCATCAACTGCAGTCATTCTTTTTGATACCCAGGCTGTCACAACTTAGGTCAGACCCTCCCTTTCAATCTAGGTCCTATGCTCTTACAGTACAACCTCATTAATCTTTAAAAGCTTCCTTGCTTCCTGGTACAAGACACCCCACATGCACTTCTGCTTCCCTGCTCCAGACCAGAAATCTGCCATTTCTCCATGGAGCCCTGCCTCCTTTTAGCAGAGAAGGGTATTTAGAAACTAGAATCTGAGCACCCAGGGTCCTCATATGAAATATATAGCACATCCTTTACAATATGGGGTCTTTGGGCCATACCAACAGGGTCACTGCTTTATGGCCCAGAGGAGACAGCCCCTCCAGCCTTCTTGGCACCTTGGATTGCCCTGGGAGGAGGATGTGGGAGAGAACTGGGGCTGAACGTGTCAAGGACACACTGGGAGTCCCAGTCCTCAGACTGGAAAGAGGGAGGCAGAAGCAGGTTCCTAAGGCGGGCCCAGCCTGTGCTGAGGCCTGGGCTGGCAACTGACTCCCTCCTCTTGGCAGCAGAGGCCCCCACCCAGGCCTTGGCCCCTCAGGCTCTCCGGTCCGGCGCTGCTCTTCTTTCTCCTGTGGCCTTTCATCGTCCAGTGGCTCTTCCGACAGTTTCGGACCCAGAAGAGGTGACTCTCAGTGGAGGGGTCTCTGCAGCCAGCTGAGGAGGCTATGAGCCCCCTGTCCTGCTGTGCCCTGAGCCTTCTTAGAGCCATCCCCCTTGCCGCTCCAATTAGTGTTTGCCTTGGCATCCCTCCCCTTATGGGGGGCCGGATTAGACCCCACTCTTCCTGCAGCTTCACTGGGACTCCCTCTCCCCTCTCCCCCAACCACTTCAGGCTCCCTGGGGAGGCTGCAGTTGTGGTGCTTGGCCCGGTTATGGGTTGGCCGGTGACTCCGGGGCGGGGCTGCTGGGTCTCAGCGTCGGCCCTCCCAACTCTCTGGGTCATCTGACTCCTCTCCCACCCTAGCCGTTCCCCGAGGAGGCTCAGCTCTTGGGCAAGTTGGAACTTGGGCCCGGGCCTGGAAGAATGATTGGCTGGGAGGCTGTGGGAGGGAGGCCAGGAGGCCCGGCCGAGTTGGGAAAAGGCGGAGAGAGTTGGCCCTGGGGGAGGGGAGTCAGCTCCGTTTTGCTGGCCGCCCTACCCCCACAAATACTCAGGACGTCTTCACTAAAGATTCACTTGCAAATGAATGTTTCACTAAATAAAATAAAACCTTTATCTTCTGCCGTCTGGGCTGCCACGGAGTGAGTTGGGAAGGGGTCCGAAGTGCACGAGGCTCAATTCTCTCCCCTGCCCCCTCCCCCGCTGCC